GTCGAAGTATTATTTTGAAAATTAGGGAGCACTTTATAGCCATTTTTCCATTTTCGAAATAAGCTTAATGATGGATTACCGGGCTTGCAGTAAGGAAACATGATAACTTAAAAATATTAAAGTTGTTAGTGAAATAATAATTCACCGATGCCAATGGATGATGATAGTATTATACTACAAAATGATAGAAATTGGAAAATGATGCAGATGCGGATTTTGGAGTTTTTTTACCAAGTTATTTTGATCACTGTGACATTGTAGTGCAATTGGTTTGGTAGAGTGCACAAGACGGTAGGTGTTTACTGCGTAACAGTCTCAAACGATATATAAAATAACTGTACACGGTGCCCTGTTTCTCACCAGTTCTTTGACTCGTTTCATTTTATGGTGAAGGTTACTTGCTAATTATGAAAAGATGTTTAAAACTAAAGTTGAATTTTTAGTAATAATGTTATGATTTGAAGATGAATCCATCTAAATAAAATAGACAAACTTCAATTAATATTATACTGATTATCATCAACATAATTTCTATCCTTACATATAAATAAGGTCTATGAATAATGTGATGTACATAAAGAAGGAATATGAGATCTCTTTGTTAAGGAGGAAAACAGACAGATCAGTGAAGAAAATTTTCTTATAGACAATACCATTTACTAAAACTGTGCAGTCGTATTTGATGCGATTTAATAAGCATATGAATCTATAAAATGATGTTGATGAAGCGAAAATTTTCTTCGATGAACTGCATTTTTCTCTTCTCTTTATTAGGTTGATAATGACTGGTTCAATGAGTCATCCAATGAATTGCATAATATTCAATAAAACTTTCTGGATTTAAAGAAGGTGATTCTTTATCTGGAGACTGGTTAATAGTATCTATTTGATTACGTAAACACTTACAGTCGAATTATACTACTATATTGACGGATCAAATAGGTCAGAATAAGCGATTAAACTTTAGGCTTTAGTAAAATATTGACGAATAATCTCTGATGAAGATACCTTAACAGACTAAGTGAAATGAAAGGATATGGTTATATGCGCATATATATATGAGTAAAAAGTTACATGCAATACTTGTTCATTTTGATACGGCTTTTGTTGTCAGCGTTATTCGGCGATTACCAATTTGATGTTCTTTTACTTTAAAGAGTTAACTCCTAGAAAACTTATACTATTAGTACTCGATTGTAAAAAAGTACTCCTATAATTTGAATATGCTTAAATAAATTCATAATGAAAAGTCGTGATCAGTGGGTCAATATAGTGTCGGGTGGTAAATAGTTACCTATCGAAAACAACAGAAGTTGGTCTCGCTATGTTGTGAATTGATTGAAGTTAGACATTATCATCGTTGGATGTTCGCTGAGTAGTCTAAAGATTAAGCGTTTACACTCCCTACCGGTCTTGAGTTTGATACTCACGTTCAGGACCATGGATGTCCACTGCCGAGTCTCGTAGGTTTTCACGGATGGCCTAACGTAGGTCAGTTTATGATTTTGACAACATAGGAACGTGTTTAGATATTCGGGTTTAACTAGTTATTTTTCTGTTTGTTTTAACACACTACGGCGTCTACTAATCTCATAACCTATTCAGGTGCGTTTATAAAACGTTTACGACTTATAGCTTTACAAGGTACAAAAAAGCACAATCAGAGACACCTTGGTGGCTGGCAATGTGGATTACAAAGAGTGAACAACAATCAGATGGCTATTTCTGAGTTGCTAACGTCGAACTGACGACCAATAATTCGCAATGTGGACAATCTGCAATTCCTACTACGTCTCAACATCTGTTTCAGTATGAAACGGACAGGAGGCTAGATGGCCTGTGTTAGTCCTGACAATGATGGTCTCTCAGTCGATCCAAATTAATCTTGAAAGAGTTGACAGATAGAGTTTCAGCCACCTGTTGAGGTATTGGATCTCATTCATTGATGATTCGATGGAAAAGTGGATAGTCTGTTGACAAGTAATTTGTTCTGGACTTGTGAATTTCATCGGAATGTCCTCACAAATTCTCTGATTCGGAAGACAAGAAAAGAGGGGATGTGATATGCGTATTTATCACTAAGTAATTTGAAAACTGTAATCAAGTCACCTCTAATCCTTCTATAAGACAATGAAAGTAGGTTTAGTTTAGTCAGTTGAACATGATACGGGAGCCTCGCTATTACGGGAGTCAACTTAGTTGCTGTTCTCTGAACCTTTACCAACAGCTCACTTTCCTTCTTTAAGCAGAGTCTAGCCACTTGTATGCAGTACTCGAGTTTAGGATGCGCGAATGCTGTAAACAAAATCAAAAGAATTGTAACATCGATATGGCTAGAGGCCCTACGTATTAACTGTAGGATTCTGAAACCTATGACGGCTATCACACATCAGTATGTAATAGTTTTTTAAGTCTTGACTAACGATGACTCCCAAATCATCTTGTGTCTGGACAACAGATAGCTCAATGTCATTCACCATGTATGTATCTGTACCTTGATGACCGATATGCATCACAATACACTCGGAAGACTATTCAGAGTGACAAAAAATTATGGATTCAAGATAGCAAGATAGTAGACTCGATTGTAGTGAATGGTTATGACAATCACCAACGTTATCTTTTGGCTGAAAAGTATTACGTAAGAACCTGATAAGATATAATAAATTACAAAAAAGTAGATAAAACTCATTTCACTAAGTGTTTCGTAAATAATCAGCCATACTCTGGAATTTATAAACGTGTTCCTTATACAGTTATCTTTCAGTAACCAGAAAGAACACCAACAGTTAGGCGCTCCTATGGAGACTCTGTGAAGTCATGAGTACTTTCTACTGAACAATCTCTTATTAAGATGAATAAAATGTTCAATACTTCTTAGTTTTTGACGGCTGTCTAACTAAGATCGATTCGTGATGTAAAATATGAAAAATAATGTTCATAGTTTAAGAGACTTTTTACGCTAAACAATGATTGAAACAATAACAAATTAAATCAGTACTGATAAAAAGTCTACTATGATATTTTATCAACCTGATTGAGATAAACAATTCTCCATTGAAATAATACTAAACATGATTTGTACATAAATACAAGAACTAATGTTCATCTATTATTAAAACAGTTAAACCATATCATGTGACATTTTATAATGATAAATTAAAATTTTGTAGTTGATATCAAATTTAAAGGTTGAAATTTGTTTATTAAAACACAAAACTAATATTATTTATTTTTAAGATAGGTAAAAACATATCAGAAGGGGGGGGTTGTGGAGATTTTAGTAAGTTTATATAGTTGAAATTATGAGTCAATTGAAGCTAGACCACCATAGAAAACTTGGAAGCACTGGATGGCCATTTCGTCTTATTGTGGGACTCCTCAGCAGCGCACATCCACTATCCCGCCTCGCAAGACTGATAGGTCCTGGATTTGAATCTCACGAAGCGGGACCATGGATGCGCACTTCTGAGGAGTCCCACAATAGGACGAAACAGCAGTTCAGCGCTTCCAGGTTTTCCATGGTGGTCTAGCTTCAATTGACTCATGATTTTAACTATAAAAAATATATCAACAAAGTAAAATTGAATAGCTTCAATTCAATTATTTTGTCAATGTCAAAATTAATATAACCCTTTGAAAATATACAAACTAAAACTACCTATCAAATTAAGAAAGTGCTCAATGATTGTGTAAAATATCTCAATAAGTACATGAATCTTTTTATTACAGGGGGTTTACAAAGATGACTGGGTCTGTTTTAGCCCATTTAGTTCAGACGGGACATAGAGCCGACATCGAGCAATCCTTCACAGTAATATATCGTGTTAATAGTAGTCTACCTAATTCTGTCAGACAGAGAATCCTGCAGACGGCTGAGGCAATTGCTATTCGGATCAAAAAGCCAGAGCTCTGCATCCAAAAGAAATATGTACGGCCGCTCCTTTTACCCTGGCCAACTTCAGGGTCAACTTGTTAATGATCAATTTTGTAATATGGTGACATTAATTTGATTAATGTTCATTTCTATATCTTAAACTTAGTTTATCTACACATCTTATCAGTCATTATTCTTATTATCATTATTATCTTTATTATTATTATTATCACACCTGCTAACCTTTTAGAGAAATTTATTCGTCATCCACCCCCTATCTACTATATCTGACCTAATTTATATTATTCTACATATTACGTAATTTCTGATTTGTAATCCTATTTTTGTAGCTCTCACTCCCATGTCAACTATATATATTCTGACAATTTATCTTACGATTTCATTTCACCTATAAACTGATTCAAGTTAACACTTCATATTAGTCATCCCAAAAACATTAACGATTCGATCTGATTTTATTTTATATGACAAACAATCCTTGATTCACATATTACAGTTTCTTAAATTGATGTACTCCGCCTTAAACTTGGCCAATCTTCTTTTATGGATTATTAATTTATAATTGTAGAACCTGATGAGAAATTATTGAAAAGAATATTCTTCGTTCATATAATTGAATTTTATATTTAAAAAAAGATTTAATTTATAATATAATTGAAATCCAGGTTACATGAAACTCCTTTTTCGTCCTAATAGGAAGCTCCTTAGAAGTTGGATTTAAGATCTTCAGTTAAGTTGAATACTTTTGGTGGTTATTTGACTCATTCGAATGGATAACTTAATCAAATAAATTTCTGTGTCGTTCTGGACAACATCGTCTATGTCTATTCCAAACTTAAAACTGTCGATATAAAATACAGTTTAGGCTTTCCCATATGAATACAACTGAATAGTTTAACAATATTTAGTTCAAATCAACACGTTTACAAAATATAAGGTCATGTGCACAAAATTTCACCATAGATGTCATAATAAATTTTGAGTTAGATTTACCTCATCTGTTACTAAAACTGTTCTTTAATTGGATGGCTTTACACCCTATTGTAATTGGTTTAAAATGATAGCACAAATACACGTAAAACTAATTAAAAATTCAACATCTCACCCTCTAACACCAATCACATGTACCCGTTTTTTTCTATATCAATGGTTTCACGTTTATATATATAGACTTACATAAAATTTCTGCTGAAACACTTTTCTATAAAGTTTACGTGTGATATTTCGTTTGCTCAGAGAGCAAAATAATGGTTGCTCAGGAATTCATTGACTTGTTCAATTCAATATCGTTGGCACAACGTTCTACTGTTGAAGATTTTGCTGATCGATTAAATTTATTCACTGTGATTTTACTGCTTGTCACTTGTATTATTGTTTCAACAAAACAATATTTATTAAATTCAATTTCATGCTATATACCAGTGAAACCAGCTGGAGAAAATTTCAATGATTATCTTGCAAATTATTGTTGGGTACATGGAACAATTCCATTGGCTGATGATGAAAGAATGCCAACTACAGAAGCTCAATGGGAAGAATATGATTCAACACGAAGAATTAGTGAGTCGATCTTATTGTGCAACTGTCACTGTCTTACTATATGTTTGATATAATGTTCATAAAGTGTGGACATGGAAATAGGAACTTTATTAAAAATTCAGAATACTGGTGAATACTTGTAGTTCATACGTGTGGTTTTTGTTGTCCTGTCTTCTGAGCTACGAGATTGACTTATTGAAAATCAATGGGACTATTAAGATAAATGAAACTAAAAAAACCTCCAAAGAGAATCATTCAAACATGAAGTTAATATAACAGACTGGCTTAAGACTTGTGGGATTAATAAAGTCACTCAGCCTATAGTACACAACAAAAACACTGATTTCCATGTGTCTTTTCATTAACTAGATTGGATTTGCACCGTCAATAATAATTAGATCTTTAGATTTATCAGTGATACATGTATCCCAGAAGTGACTTTTAGCGTTTCTCTCACATAGAAATTCACTATAAATTATTTGTTTGATCTTAGAATGAGATATTAGCTAATTTTTAGTAACTTTGTATTCATCAACTTATTAAGATTGAAAATCTGAACCATGATGTCCCCAATCACTTATTGACTCAGCAGTCATTTTATTACTTTAATATCTATAGAACAAGTAATGTATATTATATGAGTTTTTAAATTCTAGTTTTTCTAGGCAAGGGTTAAAATTTACACTATTCTACCTCCTTATTTTATTGATTATTCAACTGGTTATAGTTACTCAGTGAAATTTGCAGTACCATACACAACATAATGAATTATGTTATACATAATTTTGAATTGCAGCTCGCAGTAGAATGTCAGACAAGCGTTTCATTTTATTTAAAGCTAATCAGCTTAACAGACCTTAATTCCAGTGTTTGTATTTACCAAGGAACCCAAGCATAGTACCTGTTGCTTCAAACACTAACACATTTACTAAACTATTAAGCAGAATCCAGAAAAAACATAAAACTAGTCATTACAGACAACGGAGTTTCTGAAGTTTCTGAAGTCAAGTTAGCTTAATAACAAAATTAGCGGACGTAGTTTAAAGTTATTCTTGCAAATAATTTACTAATTCCCAAAGTAACCATAAGTTAGAATGTAGATGATTAATGAAAACCTAAAGAAACAACAAAAGTCCACTCATATTTACGTTAACCAACGTTTTGAGAGCGAAGACATTGTTTTGAGCAGAATAAAATGAATTGGCTTTATGCCACCAGCAAGTTTGCAGAATGTTTTTTAAAATATAGGATATATATATTTTTGCACGATACCATGTAACATATCAATTTTACTTACATTCTCGCCACACTATATATAAATATATATTCACAACAACGCACAATCAAATTGAGTTATGTAGTCAAAGTTCACTTTGTAGTTTTTATCTTCTAAATTCATTGATATTGGGCGGTTAATGAGAACGTAACCAAAGCAAAATGAATTCATATTCTTCTGCTCAAATCTGTATTTTTGCCCTTTTTAAAAATCTAAGTACACATAATATATATAAGCTTCGTCATATCAAGTAGAACCTTGGAAGAAAGTACATTAGTATGTTTAGACAAAATAGTACTGAGAATCGGTAATTCAACTGTTATAAATTATTTTTAAAAATTAGGACATCTATCTCCGACTAATTTGACTATAAAGTGTCAAATATACAGTTAAGAGTGGTTTAAATGATTTAAGTAGATTTCAGAATTTTTCTAGGATGTAAGGCTGGAGGCCGGTGTTAATCCTTTCTAGCGAGCTTGAGTTAGTGTCTGATCTTCTTTCGAATGATTGAATTCAAAGTTCAAAGACCATTTCTTCTAAAAGCATTTTGCTTCAGTTTGGAATTTCACCCGGACCATCTGGATGGCAGGTGAGATTCCATTCGTGAAGCATATACAGATACGAATTTCTAATCATTAACCAGTATTGAATAGTGGTTTCATATTTTGCATCGCCAACTGATCTGGACAACCACTGAACACGAGAAGACACTTGACTGCTTTTTAGCCGTACTATGAAACTCAGCCTTGAGCATTCGTGACCTCACCGGCGATCGAGCACTGGACCCTTACACTTTGCATTGAGGGCTTATCCTTTAGATTTCTGACTCGACATTCAGTGGATGTTCTAATTCACAATGTGGGAGTACTGAATATTTTAAAAATCTACTACATCTCTACTATTTTTCACTATTTTAACATGTATTCATAATAGTGTAAACTATACAGCTGATCTTTAAAAAACTTAATCATTTAATAAGTATTCGTTCATATTTATCTAGATTATTTCAATGACCTATTTTCCGAAATTACTCACCTTAGTTTTTTCTAGTTAGGGGTTGATGATCAAAGTTGTCTCTAAACTTCAGTCGGTATTATTCTTTGACATTTCAAATTGAACCCCTATAAGTTGAATAATAACAGGAAGTATAAAACTATGTGTGAATATATTTGCACTAAAATTATTGAGTTTATGCAGCAATATATTTCAAAAGCATTAAAATAACAAAATTAATAATAGACCTTGAAAGAATAATAAACTCCTTAAAAACTATTAGACTCTAAGAGGTGATAATACTCAGATGCTAAAACAAGTGACGAGTAGAATTTCAACTTATAGCAAACTCGGACTGAAGACGGGCGCTTTAGTCATCAACTCCCTTCCCCCACCTTATCATAAAACTATGATGTATATTTTGATCCTACCACTATGCTTATGATGACAAAAACGTTTCTGCAAAATACATATTGGTTAAATTTTTATGTTATCTTAGTTGCCAGATAATAAGGAACAACCATTATCTTTCATGTGTGTATACATGCAAATAATACACTAAACGATATATTATTTTACATATTGATTCTATTAATAATGTTCAACTTGTAGTCCACATTAATCCGATTGTGATAAGTCAGTTATCTAGACCATATTTACTACACCTACTCTATTTAAATAAATTTCAAACGAGGTGTACAATGTACATTTATCTGTATATATATATGAGCGGATGAAAATTGTACTTATACATTAATTAATTCAATCCGGAAAACTCAAACAAAGAATTCAACATTAAAATTTATATGGAAAAATATAAAAAAGCCTAAGAATATCAAGTATGGATTAGTTTACAAAACAAAGTTAAAATGTAAAATAATACCTGTGATTATGTTCTATGAACTTGTCATCCCACGCATTGAAATTAACATAAAGGTCCAGTGAAAAATTGGTAATGCCATGTTACACTAATGACCTTGAATGAACTAATCCATTCTAAGATACGTAGTCTAAGATTTATGCGCTAAATTGAAGACTCAGTGAAGAATATCGTATATCATATAAGTAACTAAGTTAGAAATTTCTATATCTAGTTTCCAAAATCATTAAAATTGATAAAAATATTATTAGTACAGTTACATAGTAAGTGTAGCATTTTGTGTAAAGTAAATTACAAAAAGTACCTGATTTGGGTTACATTTTATACCTGAGAGGACTTGATGTGATTCAGGACATAGTTAAGGATGTCCGTAAACATTCTCCCACACGAACACTCTTAACACTAACCCTCCTAGTCCAAATACTCCTAACCTTAACTCAGAAACCCTGAAAATTCCTTATACCTAACTTGTTTATGATAATACGTAATTCAATATGCGAGCGTCCACTAACCGTTTGGAAACTTTTTATCCGTTGGAATTTATTAATTTTCATACTTTTCTTACTGACTGATGAGTCGCTCAAGGTTTTCGGTACAGTTATGCTTTTATCGAGAGATTAGTACACATAATCGTTATTACTATTTTTTATTAGTAATGAATATATGTGCAAATTTTTCTCTTTTTGAATAAATGATCAACGTTTGTAATTGGTTATGATAAACAAAGTACAGGCTTAGTTATGGGTGATAGTCAAATTGAATTATGTGATGTTGTTATAGAAGAGGTTGTCGAATTATCTGATGAGCAATCATTTAATTTATATATATATATATATATATATATATATATATTCAGTAACTAGATTATGTATATCTATATTCCTTTTATTATAAGCTTTATTTTGACCTGTAGGCTACCATTATACGATTTACTATTCTTAAATTATACTCAGTTTACTGATTACAGTCTCCCACATTCACAGCCACGTTTTGGCTTGATCTTCTATAAATGCTATTTCTTATTTTTATGGTGTGATGTGGTTTGTTTGGCTGGTGCATAAACCAAGTATGTCTGAGGTAAATGATCCGCATAGTGGAGGCTGTCATAGGTATTCTGGACTTAACTGGAGGGGCTAGCAGAATAAGGGACCAATAAGGACTCTAGGCTGCTCATACCGGTTGGACGTCATTGGTTTGGCACAGTACTAAGACTGTATAAGTCACATTTCGATTGGCAAATAAATCACGTGATAATTAGCCGGGCTTAAAGTCACAACACTGTGGACATCGTATCACATACCTGAGCATAATTACTGGTTGGTTTAAAATACTTTGATTTCTAGTCAATAAGTCGCAGATCTGGACTTAAACTTTGATACGATCAAGTAGTATTGGTATTCTCACATAAATTGTGTATTCGGCAAGGATCCAGTCATGTGATCATGTAACTTTAGTTATGAATGGATTTTCAATGCGAAAACTGAATTGTAATGAGAAATATGAGTTGGTTAGAATGAATGCTTGATCATATTTTATTTATAAAAAGGATAATCACTGTTATCAAAGAAATGTATTGGTAGCAAATAGTTGATACGAGGCCATGTTTCATTACCCTTGTTGTCATAAAACGAATGATAGTATAAATTGAAGATCGTTTTAATAATTACAAGTATTCATGAGTATGTTATCATGCTATTATAAGTGTACTTTGTTATGAAAAGTGCTTTAACTTGATCTCTGAGTGAAATGACGCAAGATTTCATAGTCTGTTTTGATAAATCAGTTTGTGATTTAAACTATATAGCTGTTTAATTACACTGTATAATATGAGTCGGAATTAAGTTTTAAGGTAAAATCTTCGAGTGTGACACT